ATGTAACAAATATATCAAGTTGTACTAATGGAAAATATAAACATCCAAAGAAAATTGTCCGTCTTCAATTCACATTTTGTCACTTAATGAAAATCATCTTACCCGGTTACTTCACTATTTCCCGATTGTCTTCCACAGGAAACATGGTAGGCTTAGTCCGCTCCCAGTTCTCAGCTTTAAATTATTCGCGAGTGAACCCGAAACTTACGCGGAAGTGATTTCATTAGCAGTGCTCGAACATAAGGAAAAAAATGTGTTGTCCCTGCGACAACCCCCAGGCAGTTAAAGTTCCGGGTTGTCCGCGAACAATTTCTGTTGTCCCAAAAAAATATCTCAAAATCTCGCTATTTTTAAATCACATAATAATATGGTCAGAAAACACTCCCCAAACAGTGGTGTACCCAGGATTTTTTAACAAGGGGCAAAATACCAGTCAAAACCCTCTCCGCGCTCAAAAATAGTGGATGACTTTATATATTCTTCTTAATGCTCCCTCCACCATCCTCTCCACACTCTATTCCGGCTCCTCTACTTCTTCTGCAATCTCTTTGTTTTGGTGCGCTTAATCCGAAATGCGACATTTTGTTCATGTGTTCTCTGCCCCAAATATGTATATCTGTTCAGTTGGCAGATCTAGGAATTCCAAGGAGCGGGGTGAAAACAAGCGTGCGTCGGTATGGGGTCTCTGCCCCCTGACAACATTTTGAAAATGTAGTATGGCAGGAAGATGGTAATTTGCCGGCACTATTGAGTAGCATGTACAGCGCTTCATATCTGACTACGACCAATATCTCTTTTTTTTAAACTTTCCGGATCAACAGTTAAATCCCCAACTTGTTGTTGTTTTTGCCATGGGCAAAGCATCGGAAATCAATAAAGTAATAATGAAAAAAATACCAAAATGGTTAAGGGGTTACACTCTCCTGTCATTCCCGTGTTCACAAATCGACTCACTGCTCTCTCATAAATCAGAAAACCTGACATATACCAGTGTTGGAAATAGCAGCTGGTATGTGTCGCTTTCCCACACCATAGATTAATGGCGGGCCGCCAGGCTATAAGTGCTCTTGGAGAACCCCTGAGAAAAACATAAATAAAGTGCCTTTTTTAGTCACCTTTTTTACTTGGTTGTCCACCGGACAATGTCTCAGACTGGTTAGGTTGTCCGGCGCAAATTCTGGTTGTCTCGGACAACCGGACAACGCTTATTTCGAGCACTGATTAGCCATTCGAAAAATCTGTCCAATATGGCCAAAAATATCGAAGTTACTCTTACTGGGATGAATTATTGCATGAAAACAAAGTTCTAAAACGGAGATAAAGTCTTTGGAAAGCGATATTGACAAACAGAAGGTCTGTACTTGATATTTTGGGTCGGATATATATACCCCCGTCACGCCCTCAGTGCTACTCGATTCACCTATCCAATGCCCACAACAAAAATTGCAACAATTTTTACAAGGGTGACTGCAGACGATAAACCCGCACCCTCAGATTAGCAAAGCGGAGTTATAACATCTGCATTTGCGGACAATAGCAAGTCATTGTCATTGATTTATCCTTCGTTAACATGATGTAAATAAATATGTACTTTGTCAAAGTTTTCTTGGCGCTAGTGCGTTACCGGCGACACGAAACCATTTAATCAGTGCCGTGTTATGTTTTAATTGTCTAGCCACAGACACTTGGAGCGTTTCAATAAAATATAATGCTAAATAAATACGAAATCTATTTACCACCAAAGTCTTAATGTTTCTATACTCTCTTTCACCTATTTTTGCCGACAATTTCCTGCAAATGCTGTCCAAATGCTCATCTGCAACAAACGCTGGCTGCCGCCATGGCTGCCGCTGCACACTGACACATAAATATATAGCAGGTAGGAAAGCTAGCTCTAGTACTATAGCCCGCGTACAGTTGCCGCAGGGCTATAGAACATTTTATGCCAGGTTTCGTAACTGCACCTGTCCCCCAATGCTTCCACGAAAAATGGCTCACAAAACGCAGAATAATCGGGCTTTTTAACACTTATTTTAACTACATGGACATCTCACCTATCTTTTTGAACACTTTCCACAACTTTACACCCTGTATTTATGCATTTATTCTTCAAAGTGCTAGCACTACTTGCGTTTCGTTTTCAAATGCTGTTGTGTACATGCATGACTTCACCCGAAATGTAATAGGCTGCATCATAGCTGCCCATGTGTTTTGTCTTTATTTCGGGGGATGTCACGCGTGTACACAACAACATTTGAAAACGAAACGTAAGTAGTGCTAGCACTTTGAGGAATAAATGCATAAATACATGGTGTAAAGATGTGGAAAGTGTTCAAAAAGATAGGTAAGAGGTCCATGTAATTAAAATAAGTGTTAAAAAGCCCGATTATTCTGCATTTTGTGAGCCATTTTTCGTGGAAGCATTGGGGGACAGGTGCAGTTACAAAAGCTGGCATAAAATGTTCTATAGCCCTGCGGCAACTGTACGCGGGCTATAGTACTAGAGCTAGTAGGAAAGCGTGCTGCCAAAATTAGCTCGACGCTCGCTTGATTTCACACGAATACAACACAAATATTCAACCATTGATTCTACTCCATCTTTGTTTCTATTTGAAGAACAGTGTTCACTTGTTATAAAAACATGTCTGTGTTCGTAACCGAGCTGTGTCACACGAAATCACACAAAGCCTGACGAAATTCTCGCATTCGCTCCCGTTGTATTCGTGTGAAATCAAGCGAGCGTTGAGCAAATTTTGGCAGCACGCTTTCCTACCTGCTATATATTTATGTGTCAGTGTGCAGCGGCAGCCAGCGTATGTAGATGAGCATTTGGACGGCATTTGCAGGAAATTGTCAGCAATCATAGGTGAAAGAGAGTATAGAAACATTAAGAATTTGGTAGTAAATAGATTTCGTATTTATTTAGCATTATATTTTATTGAAACGCTCCAAGTGCCTGTGTGTTTAGCCACAAGTTATTTTCTCACGTCTTAGTACGTGAAACTGTCGTAGAGCCTTGTCTGGCCGTTATTCTGTACGGTTCTATTGACGGTGCACCGATTTATGCCCCCTGGTGATAAAACCCTTTTGGGTACGTAATGTATAATAGATACACACCCTCAACCAGATGTGATTAATAACATTTAATTTTATTTACAGGTAACCATGCGGTTTGTGAGCCTGATTCTACTTTCGTTATTATTTATCTGTTCCTATGGTCATAATGAATTTGATGAGAGCGATGAACTAGGTGTTGATGCAGAACCAAAGGTGATAGAAGAATCAACTAAAGTACATGTGAGTGGATATTGTGCATGGATAAAAGACAGTGCAGATTGTAAACACATATATTTAAATAAATGTCTTAAAACGCAATATAACTCGATCACTTGGTGCTTTCTTCGAAATATGCACTATGTATAATTTGCATGTTATCAGGTGTATCCTAGCTTCTACATTTCTTACTTTCTTTTACTTATGATTTCTTTCTTATGATGGTCTCACTGAGTATTTATATTCCACAAACCGTTTATTCCTTTACTATAACATGGAGCTAGATTACACCACTAGCTCCATCATTACGATAGGTAATTTTCTAATGAGATTCAGATTGATTTATGTTATGTGTCTGTGTGTGCTGGCGTGCGTGCGTGAGTGCATGCGTGTGTGTTAACTCTATTAGGGTGATGTAAGATTAAAAATTGTACATTAAAAATGCCCCAAAAGTATGCATCGACATGTATCCATTCTATAAAGGTGATTCACTCTTTCAGGCATGTCTAAATAGATGTGTTTATTTGATGTGTATGCTAAAAATTAAAGTAAAAATGGTGTGCCTGTATGCATATATGCAGTCTTGGAAATAACTATCCATTCCCCAGTCCATGCATGTCTTGTAACTTTTGAACAGGACTGGCTAATTTTTGCGTAATTTACTATTGGTCATATAGTAAGTTTTCAGTCGTATTTCCAAGACTGGTATGAGCATTGTAATCATGATGTTCATTCATGCTAGTGTACTGTATACGCTAGCTCATTCTATTTAATAATAACAAATTTCATGGTACTATCCCCAGGTAACTTATATAATTTTGTGGGTATTCCCTTTTTTTAGGTCGAAAAGAAATATTTTGTTCCACCTGTACTAAAAGGCGATGCATTCTTCACAGAAATATTTAAGTCACAAGACAATCTAAAAACAAAGTAAGTATCAATAATATATACTATACTATAGTAATGCCTTAATTTGTGTTATTTGAATATTTGTTTGTTGGCATATTTAAATTTGATCATTATTAATTTAATGTTGTTGTGTACTTGTACAATATTTCATATCATAAAACTACTTCAAGAAGAAAACCATTTAATTGTATTGTCTGATCCTGAATATAAAAACTAAGTCCTACCAAATGAACAGCCATGAATGTCATTGCACTTGGGTAGCTTTTACCATGGAATGTGCATACATGGGCATATGGATATGCAGATCATATGTGCATAGGAGAATAGGTGCTGAGTATATGTTTATAAGTGCAATTTTATGTTATAGGTGGGTGATATCACAGGCGAAGAAGGATGGTGTAGATGAAAATATAGCCAAGTATGATGGCAAGTGGGCTGTGGAGGAACCTGATGATAATCTACTCGTAGGGGATGTCGGTCTCGTGCTCAAGGTGAGAAGCAACTTTTTATGTATGAACCACATAATTATAGCTTAAATTTGTTTGCCACACATTCAAAATTTAATTAACACAGAGTAAAGTAACTGTATTCACAGTTCTAGTATATCATAACAGGGACGGATCTAGCTTTGAGGAGACGGTGGGGGGGGGGTTGATATTTGAGTGAAGACATGCCGAAGGCACGCGGTGCTAGGGTGGGCCGGGGGCATCCCCACCTCCCACCTGGAAAATGTATGCAGCTGTGTAGTGACAGGGGAAATCCCCAGTTTCTATCAGCCTAAAATATTGATCTAAAGTAAAAATTGTAAAAATTGCACTCCCAAATATTTTGTCTGCACTTCCACAATACTCATTCCTGGTTAATACCCTGATGGGGGGGGGGTGCAACCCCCAACCCTCTCTCTAGAGCCGCCATTGTATAATAATACGTATCTGCATGTCGTGTGTGTGCGTGTGTGCATGTGTGTATGTTTTGCTCTGAAGGCAGCTATAGCTCTATGTTAACGTTAAATTAAACATCTCAAATTTGTAGTTAGTTAACAATTGAAGGAATTAAGTAGTTATTATAGACCACTTGGCTTTTCTAAATAATATGGATTTTATGCAAATGCTATTGAATGAATATTTTTTCAGTCAAAGGCCAAGCATCATGCGATTGCAGCCCCGCTTGATAAGCCATACGAATTCATCGGAAATCCACTCGTAGTACAGTACGTCTTTCCCCCGCATTCTATGTACTTATGTTTTTCCAGTTTATGGAATGTAACTATTGGCATTTCAGCATTTTAAATTTTAATTTGCAGATGCAGTCATGTGTGTATTGACCAAATGAATTAGCCATTGAGTGCAACAGCATGATTCACGAGTAACCGAATGTGCAAGCGTGTACCAGCGACAGCGTGACGATGTTGACCCTTATGTGAGACTGTCAGACAGCGTGTGTTCTGTGCAGGTACGAGGTAAAGCTGCAAAATGGACTGGAGTGTGGTGGCGCCTACATAAAGCTCCTGAGCAAGTCCAACAAGCTGAAGTTGGAAGAGTTCAATGACCAGACACCGTACACGATCATGTTCGGACCGGATAAGTGCGGCAATGATGCAAAACTGCATTTCATCTTCAGGCACATGAATCCACTCACTGGGGAGTTCGAGGTGAATAATACTGAGTCGTCGGTACAGCGTGAAAGCAGCATAGTTTTCTACATGCATATTTTAAAATTGCTTTCGTTGTAGGGCTTTTATACGTCAGCTGCGCACGTTCAATTGCACGTTGCGTGCAATCTTTATAGCTCACCCCATCTGATATATGGCTGTGAATGTAGTACGAAAGTTCATGGTAAATGTTTGTGTAGTGAGAGTGAGTTCTCGTTGCAGGAAAAACATGCAAAGAGGCCATCAGTGAACATTGACAAGCAGTTCTCGGATAAGAAAACACACCTGTACACACTAGGTATCGTTGGATAGTTTGCTAGTTTGTTTGTATGAATACTTATGAAGGATAATTACATATATGCAATCAAGTACTCATAACCTTTGTGCTCCTGAATAGAGTTTGAGATGCAAGAAAGAATAGTTTGTTTGACATTAATGGATTTGAAACATAAGAAGCCAAAAATGTAGGTTATTTTAGTCTGCTAAGTGCAATGAAGTTTTTCTTTCTGAACTTTATTAATGATGTAAAAAATGTGATCACAAAAATTGCATTTGTGTGTGAGTGAACATTACTTATGTTTGGTTTAATATAGTGTCTGGGTTCAGTAAATTCGCATGTCTGCAAGGGGTATTTTTAATTTCATTATTAAATCTAGTTTTTATATGCGCATTTTCATGGATTTCATTAGTCACGTTTAAAGGGTCTGTTTTGTATGAACTGTCAGGTCTCATTAATTAATGAAGCAACATACTGTGCAGTATGCAAAGTCAAATTAAGTTAAAACTACATCTGTAACTGAGCATGTTTTTTTTGCGTTCACAGTACTAAATTCCGACAACACATTCCAAATATACGTCGACAACACACAGGTGAATTCGGGAAGCCTTCTGGAAGATTGCACGTAAGACTTAGTGAATTTAGTGTGCCATTTTTGGTGGTGTTTACCATGTAATGTGTGCGAGACGTCAGATCATGTAGCATCAACCAAGCAGATGAAAACCAATGAATAAGTAACGTTAGACGGCGACCTAGCATACCATCCCTCATTGTGGCAAAATCGTCACAAATCTGGGTTTTGATGTGGAGTTAGATGTTTAGTGTGCCTATCACATTGAAAAGAAATGGTTTTCATACGTGCCTACTGGAAAATCCTTATTGAAATTAGTATAAAAAATTGTCACTAACGAGTGATTTCTCACTTTCATGTACTTGACAAGTGTATCGTATGGTGCTTGCTAACTAGGTTTAACTGCTATTTGCTAAGCCAGTCACACGTATAATTAACCAGTTTGAAAGGTATCCTGACAATGATCCAGTCTTCAGAACTGTGTACGTAACGGGCGCGTTGGCGTGCGGTAAACTAGATGCCTCGTACGGTTGGCCTGAGCATGGGAGGAACTAAACTGTTACGTTATTGTATTGCAGTCCACCAGTGAATCCCCCTGAGGAAATTGAGGACCCCAGTGAAACAAAACCTGAGGACTGGGACGAGCGAGAGAAGTAAGTTCAGGGCCAACTCACCTAGAGTACAATCACGACTTTACTAAATTAATTGTGTTGTACGTGTATAGTTTGCGCATTCAGTAGCTGTGAGCAGTGGTCAGATTTTGAAACAACTTCTTGCTTATCTCGTGCATAGGGTTGGTAAGTAAAACGGTGAAATTTTATACAGTTACATTAATTGGTGCCATATAATTCAATTGTTTAGCTTGATTGTGACCAGTATTTATAAGGCATGTTTACACAATTAAAGTAATAAATAACAAACTTAACAAGGATTATGCCTAATTTTGTCTGCTGTTTATCAGAGTTGCCAGAAGTTGACTCAGTAAGTGACGCTCTGTGGTTGGTTTGCAGTGATTAGGTTACAATCGGTTATCCGTGAGGTGGGTGTTATTGTTAGGAAATGATAGTTGAAGTAACCAAGAACTTCTGTCGAAGAGTCCTCTGCAAAACACAAAACAAAAACTGCATAGTTATCTTACCTCAACGCAACGCACCGTCACATTTTTCAGGATCAGGGACCCCGAGGCAGTTAAGCCAGATGAATGGGATGAGACTGAACCAGCGAAGATCGAGGATACCAGTGCCGTGAAACCCGCCGGCTGGCTGGACGATGAAGAGGAGCTCCTTGCAGATCCAGAAGCTGAGAAGCCAGATGACTGGTGGGTTACCATGGTTACGCACACTGCGCTCACAGACTGACATTCGTTACGCTGTGTTTGGCATCCATGTCGTTTATAATTTAGTACAATTGTTGTTGTTTTTTTCCCTAAAAATGCCATGTCTTATGCATAAAGTCTATACATTTTGTTATAAAAACTAGGCATTTGACCTGAAAAAAAAAGAAATGAAGATGAAATAAAATGAATAAGTGAAGTGAAAATATAAAACGCTTGCCGTTTAGTTGAATTTATGCTTGTTGGTCTTGGTATTAATCTGTATGTACTGTTTTAGGGATGAGGAAATGGATGGAGAATGGGAACCACCAATGATATGTGAGTCCAGTGAAGTCTATTAAATGCTATATTATAGCCAATGAATTGTCTATGGAATGTTTGATCTTAAAATTCACAATATTCATCGTGAATGCTAATAAAAATAATTATATATAAATCTAAAATAAACTACCTAGAGGACCGGACCAAAATAATAAATGGCTAGTTGTAATTATTAGTTGTAGTTTTGCTTAATTTCATATAATTATTGTACATATATCCTCCATGTTTTACGTTACTATGAACTGTTACGATGTCAGATGAAACCTAGAACAAGCATTAGATGTCATGTTCAACGATTGCATATAATTATGTTCAGAAAGTGAATGTATGCATAATATTTATTTACCAAAATTCATGAATAGTACCTGTAAATTAAAACTATGCTTGCCTAATCTCTCACAGCTAATCCCAACTGCAGTCCTGGCTGTGGGGAGTGGAAACCACCAATGATAGACAATCCCAAGTACAAGGGCAAATGGCAGTCACCACTCATTGACAATCCTGCCTACAAGGGAAAGTGGAAGCCACAAATTATCAAGAACCCAAATTATTTCTATGATGAGCACCCCTACAAAATGCAGCCTATCGTAAGTGCTATTGGACATGTCAGTTCTTTTTAGTGAAATGTAGAACAAAAATCTCATTTAGTAATGGGTGTCTTGTCATTTCTTCCTCGTAAGTGTAAAACTATCTATTTATTAACAGGCAGCGATTGGATTGGAACTCTGGTCAATGACGGATGGTATAGTCTTTGATAATTTCATCATTACTGATGCCAAGAGCACTGCTGATGAGTGGGCTAAAGATACCTTCAATATCAAACAAACTGAAGAAGAGGCAGAGGCTGCAAAGGTATGGTCAAAGACTTATCTCAGTCGTAGTAGTCTATGAAATAATGTTTGCATGCTTCCTAATGTAATGTATTATATTCTTATAATTGTAATATGTGTAAATATACATCTATATTATCCGCAGTTAAATAATATACACTAAGAGTTTTAAGAGATGAAAATTAACAGTTGCTATACCAAAGCTACCACCACGTGTGTAAAGCCGCACCTGCTACAGTGTATTATAATCTTGGTTCTTTATCATTGATGTACCAATTGTGTGCACATAAGTAAATTCTTTTTATGTATGTGTATCACTGTGTACTTCTTGCATGTTACTTTAGGAGGGCCTTATAGCACAATTGATTGCAACTACAAATGACCGTCCATGGCTCTGGGCAGTATACATCATTGTGATTGTATTGCCTTTGATTCTCATCATCATCTACTGCTGCTCCTCATCATCGAAGGTAAGCAGCGTCGTACTTGCATTTTCAGTGTGCTACGGTTAGTAGGGATTCTTAGCAGTTCTATAACTGGAGAATTTTTGTGGTAGGTTGTTGCTTGCTAGTCTTCAATTTTGGTTTTGACTGAGAAAGAGTTGGCCGTTGTTGTTGGTGTTAAAACCAGTACGCAATCTCATATACAGGATCCGGCAGCAGACAATAAGAAGACCGATGAGTCAACCCCAGATGGTCCAGAAGAGGAAGAAGATGACGAAGAAGAGGATGCTAATGGAGAAGGAGAAGATAACGAGGAGCCCGCGAAAGAGGATGAGAAAGCCTCTCCCGAGGACGAGAAAGCCTCTCCTGAGGACGAAAGCACAAAAAAATCTAGTAAAGGAAAAGCAGCTCTGGAAAAAGAAGAGGTGTGTATAATGTTGTCATCGACTGATTGATTCACACAATGATGATTTGTCTTTCATTTACAGGTGGTATATGCACGGTATAGAGTTGAACTATCTATCGATTTTGGTCATCTAATTTCCCTAAAATATACTGTGAATGTAACACATCATATTTCTTTTAGGAGAAAGAAGATGGAGCAGGTGACTCTCTCAGGACTTCTCCAAGGAGGCGGACAGCGAGGAAAGACTAGATGAACAAGGAGGGCAATTTTAACGTGATACTGAAGTGTCTAGATGAACACTTACACTGTCGTTGTCTCCTATGGGTTGCGTGTGTCTGTGGTGTACGTATGTGTGTGTGTGAGAAATCAGGTGGCCAACCACCACTGCAGCAGTCAGTATACATGAGAAATGTAACCTAATTATTGTGGACTTGCTGGTTTGATGTAAATTTACATCAGAACTCATAGTTATTGCCACCACCAATTCATGATTCTACCAGCCATTGCACCTCTGCAGGATACATACTGTATAAATATATGTCTATCCAGACTTGAGTTGTATCACATCACATTTAGAGTTGTAATAGATTTTTTCAACGCTGGTCCATTATCAAAATGGAGTTTAAGCCATAACTGTGTTCCATGTCTGCAAGTGCAGTTCTAAAAAGGCATCAATGTTTCTCACTGGTTATTGCTGGTCTGAAGGTAATGCACAGAGTTGATTATCGTACACGTTTCATGTCACCTACCGTGAATAATTTGGTCAATCAACAGAGCTTGGTGAACGTTGTTTCTGCAAGTACCTGTTCCATCATAGCTGCAGAAGACAAAAGTTTAATTTTGTCCCGTGGCTGTTCCCTGGTTGTAAGAGACGAGAACAAGTTAGAACAAATTATTTTCACGCAGCAGCTTCATTTGTTGTGGTGTTAGATTTTAATTTGTTTCCAGGTAGTAGCTTTTTCAGAAGCCTCGCGAGACCTGGCCCCTTCTTAATCATTTTATACGTATTTATACGTTAGTTACATGTTGTTCAATCTGCAGATTTCAGTGTTATGCAATCGAGATGCATATAAATTTCGTGATGGATGTACACTGAATTATTGATGCATGCACTGTTTTTCGACCATTGATAATGAAATGCCTTTTTGACACGATACAGATGATACGTTTGTACTGCTTCACTCTACATGCAGATCATCGTCGCTGTGTTGCTATCTGGTTCGTCTAATCTGTTGGTTGGTAAAGTGAAGCAAAGCAACTCTCGCCTCAGTGTTAGGTTTTCGCAAATATCTACTGACGATATACATGTAAATAAAGGACCTTGCTCGTTCTTGAACACGTGCAAGGCAGTACTTGCAGCAAGAATTACCATTCGTTATTTAGACTTGACCATGTTGAAAGCATGGACGAGTTTGAATATATGTAGACTATGATAGATATATAGATATGTTAACTGGACCGAGGGTTAGAATTTGTGTGCCCTGAATTACAAACGACTGTGAATCGCCCGTAATGCGTGCTGTAAGTCTGTGAGCTGTAATGTGACAGGTGTTCCTGCAAGCATTGTGTAATGTGACAGGTGTTTCTGCAAGTATTGTGTAATGTGACAGGTGTTTCTGCAAGCATTGTGCAATGTGACAGGTGTTTCTGCAAGTATTGTGTAATGTGACAGGTGTTTCTGCAAGCATTGTGCAATGTGACAGGTGTTTCTGCAAGTATTGTGTAATGTGACAGGTGTTTCTGCAAGCATTGTGCAATGTGACAGGTGTTTCTGCAAGTATTGTGTAATGCGACAGGTGTTCCTGCAAGCAT